TTGGGACTTCATCAAGATCAAAGGCTTTTGCCCAGCAAAGGGAATAGTCAACAAAACCAAAAGACAACTGACAGAATGGGAGAAGATATTTGCAAATGACATATCAGATAAAGGGCTAGTATCCAAAAATCTATAAAGAACTTATCAAAGTCAACACCCAAAGAACAAATAATCCAATCAAGAAATGGGCAGAGGACATGAACGGACATTTCTGCAAAGAAGACATCCAGATGGCCAACAGACACATGAAAAAGTGCTCCACATCACTTGGCATCAGGGAAATAAAGATCAAAACCACAATGAGATACCACCTCACACCAGTCAGAATGGCTAAAATTAACAAGTCAGGCAACGACAGATGCTGGCGAGCATGTAGAGAAAGGGGAACCCTCCTGCACTGTTGGTGGGAATGCAAGCTGGTGCAACCACTCGGGAAAACAGCATGGAGGTTCCTCAAAAAGTTGAAAATAGAGCTACCCTATGACCCAGCAATCACACTACTGGGCATTTACCCTAAAGATACAAATGTAGTGATCCACAGGGGCACGTGCACCTGAATGTTTATAGCAGCAATGTCAACAATAGCCAAAATATGGACAGAGCCTAGATGTCCATCAACAGATGAATGGATAAAGAAGATGTGGTATATATACACAATGGAATACTATACAGCCATCAAAAGAAATGAAATCTTGCCATTTGCAATGACATGGATGGAACTAGAGGGTATTATGCTGAGCGAAATAAGTTGATTGGAGAGAGACAATTATCATATGACCCCCCTGATATGAGGAATTTGAGAGACAAAGTGGGGGGTTTGGGGGCAGGGAAGGAAAAAAAGGAAACAAGATGGGATTTGGGGGGGAGACAAACCGTAAGAGACTCTTAATCTCACAAAACAAACTAAGGGTTGCTGGAGGGTGTGGGGGTAGGGATAGGGTGGTCGGGTTGTGGATACTGGGGAGGGTATGTGCTATGGTGAGTGCTGTGAAATGTGTAAGCCTGATGATTCACAGACCTGCACCTCTGGGGCAAATAATACATTATATGTTAATAAAAAAATTTTTAAAAAACAGTGAGATACCACCGCACACCAGTCAGAATGGCTAAAATTAACAAATCAGGAAATGACAGGTGTTGGTGAGGATGCAGAGAAAGGGGAACACTCCTAAACTGTTGTTAGAAATGAAGCTGGTCCAGCCACTATGGAAAGTATGGAGGTTCCTCAAAAAGTTGAAAACAGAGCTACCTTACAACCCAGCAATCGCACTGCTGGGTATTTACCTTACAGATATAAATATAGTGATCCAAAAAGGCACGTGCACTGCAATGTTTATAGCAGCAATGTCCACAATAGCCAATCTATGGAAAGAACCTAAATGTCCATCAACAGGGGAATGGGTAAAGAAGATATGGTCTATATATACAATGGAATATTATGCAGCCATCCAAAAAACAAAAAAAAAAAAAAAAAACACGAAATCTTGCCATTTGCAATGATGTGGGTGGAACTAGAGGTTACAATGTTGAGCGCAATAAGTCAATCAGGAAAAGACAATTATCATATGATATCACTGATAGGAGGAATTGGAGAAACATGACAGAGCATCCTAGGGAAAGGGAGGGGAAAATAAAACAAGATAAAACCAGAGAGGAAGACAAACCATAAGAGACTCTTAATCTCAGGAAACAAACTGAGGGTTGCTGGAGGGGAGAAGGGTGGAAGGGATGGGGTGGCTGGGTTATGGACATTGGGGAGGGTATGTGCTATGTCAAGTGCTGTGAATTGTGTAAGCCTGATAAATCACAGAACTGTACCCCTGAAACAAATATTATATGTTAATTAAAAAAAAGAAAACCCTGCAGCAGTTCCTTGAATTAAACCTAAAATAATGGGGTTTTTTTCACCCCACATTTTTTAAATTTGTACTTATTTGAGAATAGAGAGAGCACTCAAATTGGGAGAGGGGGAGAGGAAGAGATAATATTCAGGCAGACCCTGCACTGAGTGTAGAGCCAGATGGCCAGACATGGGCTCAGTGCCATGACCTGAGATAATGCCTTGAGCTGAAATGAAGAGTTGGAAACTTAACTGATTAAGCTACCTAGGTACCCCCCTATTACTCTTTTTTTCTTTTCTTACTTTTTCCTTCTTTTTTGAAATTTTATTTTATTTTTTCAGTGTTCCAGAATTCATTGTTTATGTACCACACCCAACGCTCCATGCAATACGTGTCCTCATATTACCCACCACCAGTCTCACCCAACCTCTCACCCCTCTCCCCTCCAAAACCCTCAGTATGTTTCTCAGAATCCACAGTCTCTCATGATTCATCTTCCCCTCCAATTTCCCTCAACTCCCTTCTCCTCTCCATCTCCCTATGTCCTCCATGCTATTTGTTAGGCTCCACAAATAAGTGAAACCATATGATAATTGACTCTCTCTGCTTGACTTATTTCACTCAGCATCATCTCTTCCAGTCCCGTCCATGTTGCTACAAAAGTTGGGTATTCTTCCTTTCTGATGGAGGCATAATACTCCATAGTGTATATGGACCACATCTTCCTTATCCAGTCGTCTGTTGAAGGGCATCTTGGTTCTTTCCAGTTTAGCGACCATGGCCATTGCTGCTATAAACATTGGGCTAGAGGTGGCCCTTCTTTTCACTCCATCTGTGTCTTTGGGGTAAATACCCAGTAGTGCAATTGCAGGGTCATAAGGAAGCCCTATTTTTAATTTCTTAAGGAATCTCCACACTGTTTTCCAAAGTGGTTGCACCAACTTGCATTCCCACCAACAGTGTAAGAGGGTTCCCCTTTCTCCACATCCTCTCCAACCAACACGCATTGTTTACTATCTTGTTAATTTTGGCCATTCTAGCTGGTGTAAGGTGGTATCTCAACATGGTTTTTATTTCAATCTCCCTGATGTCTAGTGATTATGAACACTTTTTCATGTATCTGTTAGCCATTTGTTTGTCTTATTTGGAAAATTGTCTGTTCATGTCTTCTGCCCATTTTTTGATGTAATTACCTGGTTTTTGAGTGTTGAGTTTGAGGGGTTCTTTATAGATCTTAGGTATCAGCCCTCTGTAGCGTCATTTGTGAATATCTCCTCCCATTCTGTGGGTTGCCTCTTACTCTTTTAATTTAAGCTCTTAACTGATTCCTTATGGCTTAATTTCTTAACCTGGAATTTTGTCTTCCATGATCTGTACTCATACAGTTTGTTGACTATTCTTTTTAAAATGATAATGAAACTTCATTTGATAAGAAGCCTTCATGATAGTTATAATCACAATTGAATGCATAAGCACTGGTGAGGAGTGAAATCCCTATATCCAATCTGAGAACCAGATTTCATAGTTTAGACAAAATTATGCAACTCACTTATTTAGAACAAGGTCCTTCATAATAATATAGACCTAAAATATTTTCTTTAAAAATATGTAAGCTATACACTCCAACAGATGAATGAATAAAGAAGATATGGTCCATATATATAATGGAATATTTTGCCTCCATCAGAGAGGATGAATACCCAACTTTTGTATCAACATGGACAGGACTGGAGGAGATTATGCTGAGTGAGATAAGTAAGCAGAAAGAGTCAATTATCACATGGTTTCACTTACTTGTGGAGCATCAGGAATAACATGAAGAACATTGGGAGAGGAGAAGAGAAGGGAGTTGGGGAAAATTGGAGTGGGAGACAAAGCATGAGAGACTGTGGACTCTGAGAAACAAACAGGGTTTTGGAGGGGATGGGGTGGTGGGTATTATGGAGGGCACATAATGCATGGATCACTGGGTGTGGTGCATAAACAATTAATTCTGTAACACTGAAAAGAAATTTTAAAAATAAAAATTTAAAAAAAATATATATGTATATATATACTTATCAACTAATAGCTTACATATTAGTTACATAACCTGTTCATATTGGTTCATAGACTCTGACTGGCAACCAGATCAATGGGAGAAGCAAAGGCCTGAAGTACCGTCAATCAAATATTTTATAGTGTATCTATGTGTCATGCACTATTTTACATGCTGGGGAGACATTGGTGAACAAAACGGGCAAGCATCTCTTCCCCAATAACTTACATTATGGGGAGAAAGACAGTTAATGGATAAATAAATGATATGTTGTTTGTAAGTAGAATAGGATCAGGGATATTGGGAGTGCTTGGATGAAGTTTACAGTATAAAATATGGTCATCAGGGGCGCCCTGGTGGCTCAGTGGATTAAAGCCTCTGCCTTTGGCTCAGGTGATGATTCCAGGGTCTTGGGATCAAGCCCTGATTTGGGCTCTCTGCTCAGCAGGGAGCCTGCCTTCCCTCCTCTCTCTGCCTGCCTCTCTGCCTACTTGTGATCTCTGTTTGTCAAATAAATAATTTTTTAAATGGGGTCATCAGGGTAAGTCTCACTGAAAATATAACATTAAGCAAAGACAAGAAGGAGATGAAGGATTGGAGAAATGGACTACATTCAAGGCAGGGAAGCAGCTAGAGCAAAGGAGCTAAGGAAAGAGAATGACTCATGGAATTCAGCTCTAGTGGAGCCTAGTAGACCAAACTGGTAAACCTAGCTCAGAGTTAGGGACAAGAAACACAGCAGGAGAGAATGTTATCAGAGAGTTAATGGGAATATAGATCATGCTGGATTAACCATTATAAAAATGTTGACTTTTTCTTCAGAAAATTCCTCCAGATTTGCCACTAATGAGTACCTCTGGGGATAGGTCTCCAAGGCCAGGAAAGCTTTCTTCTTCCACCCAGCTGTTTCTATTCCCTAAAAAATGAAGATTAATGATGCTCAGCTCCCAAGCTATATCTTCTCTACCTTCAGACACAGTCTCACCAATGTAGGCAAAGGGTCTGGGTTCTCTGGACAGTCACGTGTCCTCAGTAAGGGCATTGAAGAGAATATATACGTGTCCTCAGTAAGGTCATTGGAGAGAATATATATTTCTAAGGGCACAACTCATAGGGTAGAGATGAAGGAAGCCAAGAGGTAAGTGTGGAAGGTAGCACCTGGAAAACTGAGTAATGGGCTCAGGTTTCAGAGTGGAATATAGTGAATGGAAGATCTGCCCTTACAAGGCCAGATCTGTCTGTTTCAAAAGCAGTACATCAATCAGTCTCACTGTGAGAAGCACCTTACATGGTAAAGCTGCCAACAGACACTCATGAGGATATATCTGGCAGGGAATGAAACCGATGAGTCTAGAGTTTTGAAAAAGAGTAGAACTGAAGATAAGATTCAAGAGATATCTGTTTATAGATAGTTAAAGACTGGAACTGGAAGACAGAGACCAGAAAAAGTGAATGAGAAGTGAATAAGGAGACATAAGAATAGTCAACCAAGGACTAAGAGGGAGTCTCCAGTGAGAGCACTGGAAGAGTGTGGTGGGTCCTGGGAGAAAGGGGAATAATATGTTTGGAGTAAGAAAATAGGAATCAACTGTGCTATGTCTTGCTGAGAGGTCAAATAACTTAAGGACTGAGAACTAAATGCTGACCTAGATAAGAGGGATTTAAGTGGAATAATAAGGCCAGAAACCTGCTTGAGGGGGTTTTAGAGGAACATGGAGAGTAACTGTGTGTGATGGAGGCAATTAACTTTTTGAAGAATTTTCCAGAAAGCACAGAAAAAATGGAGGATTAGTAGCAGATGCTGTGGATACACATTAGAATATCAGGGATATTGTCCATCTGAAGCTAAGGTTTTAGGTGGCTGAGATTTCTCAGTTTTAGATAGGCAGGACCTTACATGTTTTAGCTGCCCAAATATTATTCAGATAACCTCAGTTCTCAGTCAACATGAATTATATTATTTCCAGGTGAATTACCCAAAGAGGAGATAATAAAACTGAGATTATTCAAGCAAAATCATCAAGAAGGTCCATCCTGGGAGAAGTTGTGGAGATGTTGAGAGGTATGGCCATATCAAAGCCAAAGGATGTGCTGTTCTTAAGAGATACAGAAGTAAGGGAAACCTTAAACTTGTAGAGGGAGAAGGGCAATCCTCCAATTTCTGGGGCTTTTTTAAATTTAAATTCACTTAGCCAACATGTAGTACATCATTAGTGTTTTATTTCTGCTTTTAAAAAAGAGTTGAGGGGCTCCTTGGTGGCTCAGTGGGTTAAACCCACTGCCTTTGGTTCAGGTAATGATCTCAGGGTCCTGGGATTGAGCCCCACATTGGGTTCTCTGCTTAGCGGGGAGCCTGCTTCCTTCCCCCTCTCTCTTTGCCTGCCTCTCTGCCTACTTGTGATCTCTTTCAAATAAATAATAAAATCTTTTTTTAAAAGAGTTGAAAATAATAGAGGGGAAAGTGACAAAGCTATTGTAGTCCCACATTTTGAATTCAATTCAGCGGACAAGCAGGGTCAGCATCACCTGAGGTTATAGTGTGACAGAAATACAAATTCTCATGTTTCATCCAAGACCTAAGAACAGAATCTCTGAGGTGGAGCCCAAAAGCATGTGACTTACCTGGCTCTCCAAGTGACTCTCAAGCATGTGAAAGTTTGAGAAGCTCTGTTCTCAAGTATATAAAAAATGTGCTACATAAAGGGGGGGGGGATACTGTCCCTTTATCCTAAATCATTTATCTATCAGAACACTTCAGGTTTACTAGAACAAGGAGGTAATGAACATATTCATGGAAACAGGAAAGGAAACTGTGCCAAACACTTACAGAGAGGTCATGGAGCAATAATCTTTGAGACAGATCATGTGCTAAACTTGTTTCTGTACAGAACTATTTAAAAGAAAACAATTCCTACTCCCAAGGCATTTATAATTGGTAAGAGGTAATTAATATATCATAAAGATTAGAAAACACCTTTAGACAATATCCACTTAAGGCTAGATCAACATATCTATACATTCAGAAGAAATAAAGTAATGAGGGTTAGAATATTTGATAAATATGATGGCAAAGGGAGTAAATTCTTCACTGAGCCTTGAAGGTAATATTTGGGTGAGGAAGGAAGGATGTCAAGAGAGAAGAGTCCTGAGGCTTCAGGTCAAAGAGAGTACATGTAGGAAGGCAGAAATGACCATGAGGGATGCAGCCCAGGAGAGAGGGGAACAGGGGCTTTTAAATAGTGGGAACCCTGTTTTATAGGTGGGAGGATTCTGATACAGAGGTTCTTGATAACCAGGCACAGATGAACAGATGTGATGCAGGAAGAAGTAAGGTGTCAAAGGAGCCTGAGCAAGGTAGGACCAGGCCCAGAACAGAAGTCCTACCATTTCCCACAAATGCTCTCAGCATGAATCTCATCAACAAGAGGGGGAGGCAGGAAAGCCAGCCAAGCTGTGAATGGAATAAGCTGGGGATGAGCTGATGCAAGCCCACAGAAGGTAACTGAGAATATGGGGTGGAAAGACTGAAATCAGCAAGACTTCAAAGAAAAGGACCCTTACTCTCATTGGTCTGGATTTTCAGGAGAGAAGAAGTAGATACACATTTTCAGCCCATATCTCAGGTATTTGTACAAAGAACTTTTACACAAAGTGTTGAAATGGAAGGAACCACTTGAGGAAGACAGCATACTGTCCTCTGGCCTTCACTCTCTATTAATTAATGTATTTGTTCTCCTTGTGACAAATACTGTCTTTCACATGACAAGCACTGGGGCTACAACAGAGAAGAAAATGAGGTGCACTCTCTGCACCTCCTGGTCTTAAGGACTCCAATGTTAACTAAATGCCCTCAATAAATATTTTTTTACCCTCAATAAATATTAGTGGAAGACGAATGTGCTTATATCTTTCACATTACGAATTTAGTAAATTCTGTGAAGGTAATGTCACAGCATAGAAATGGGAGGTTCAGCTTCATCAAAGAGGTAAAAGGAAACCTCCCTGAGAAGGTCACCAACTTCTCTGAGGTAAGGAAGAGGAGCAGAGTGACTCAGAGAAGGGAAGGCCATGTGGTCATCGTGGCTGGGGAGCAGAGGACAAGTGTACCATGGGGCAACCTGAAGCTGATGAGACATTGTGAACCCAGTAAACACTGAGCTCTGTAGGACATGGTTGGGAGTTTTGAATTCTCCTGAGACCAGTGGTTCTCCAGAAACTTATTTGTTTACTTATTTGTAAACAAAGAAGTGACATGTTCATATTTTCTTGTTTGATAAGATCGCTCTGGCTGCAGTGTGTAGGATATGCTGATGGGGCCAGAGGGCATATTAAACTGTTCAGAGGCTCCCAGTGCTGCAGTTATCAATGACAGCTTGAACTAGAGTAATGACTGTGTAGATGTGCAGGAGCACTTACTGAGCTCCCACTGTGTGTCAAGCACCAAGCTAAGTACTGATATGCAGTCTCTGCCTTCAAGGACTCATGGTCTTGTGATAAAAACATTCACAAACAAGAAGTTATACCATCTCATTCTTAATTAAGAAGCCTCTTTTAAATGCAAAGAACTCCAGAAAGTCTCTGCTGTTCCCCTCATTCTCTTGTCTTTATGCTTCTCACTTTGACCATCCTTTATGACATCCAACTCTTGTCCCTCCCATTGCTGTTCTAGGTTTTCATCCATTATTCATATTGATGGTTTTGGGAAACCCACCAAATACCAAGAGACAGGATCGAGCCTTCTTTCCACCTCAGTTCCTGATAGTGAGCAACCTCTACAGGATGGTCCCTTTCTTGCAGCACACCAAGACCCAGAGTGAACTGCAGCAAGACTCCTGACTTTGTCCTTGTAGGACTGTCCCAAGGTCCAGAGCACAGGCAGCTCCTCTTTGGTCTCTTTCTTGCCCTTTACCTGTTGAGCCTCCTAGGGAACTTGCTCCTTCTGCTGGCTATTGGTGCAGATGCACACCTCCACACTCCCATGTACTTCTTCCTCAGCCAACTCTCCCTGATGGACCTCTGCTTCACTTCCACCACAGCCCCTAAAATGCTTGAGGATCTATGGACAAATAGTGGATCCATTTCTTTTCCTGGATGTCTGGCCCATTTATATTTCTTTGCTGCTTTTGCTGATATGGACAGCCTGCTTTTGATTCTCATGGCTATCGACCACTATGCTGCCATCTGTCATCCTCTGCACTACCCACTACTAATGACTCCCTGTAGATGTGGGCTACTGGTGGGTGGGTCATGGGGGGTGGCCCACTTTGTCTCTCTGGTGCATATTCTGTCCCTATGTCAGTTATATTTCTATACTAATCAAGAGATTCACCACTTTTTCTGTGTTTTTGGCCCACTCTTTCAACTTTCTTGCTCAGATACCCACCTCAGTGAGGTCCTGATGATGGTTCTGACCGGGTTGTTAGGACTCGGCCCTCTCCTCTGCATCATAAGCTCCTATGCCCATATTTTCCATGCTGTGGCTAGGGTCCCATCAGCACAGGGGAAAAAGAAAGCCCTGACCACATGCAGCTCCCACCTCTCTGTGGTCATCCTCTTCTACAGCACAGTCTTTGCCACCTACCTGAAGCCCCCATCAACCCCTCACTCCATGGGGGCGCTGGTTGCTGCTGTCATGTATACCCTGGTAACTCCCACTCTCAACCCTTTCATTTACAGTCTGAGAAATAAGGATGTGAAGGGTTCACTGAAAAGGGTTCTGGGTTTAAAGGGTTCATAGGATTGTGAATAATCCCCCATAAACAACCATTTGGGGGGAAATCCCTCTCCACATCACCACCACAATTACAAGGCAAGTCAGTTAACACCAAGACTGCTACAGATCATTAGATAATCTATGGGAAAGATGGGAAAGAACACTAAACTAAGTTCAGGAGAACTATGATCTAGTTCCCACCTCAGGTGGGGGTTTCTCTGTCTCTCTCTTTCTCCATGGTAAGGATCTTCATTATTTGTCTGTTGATAGAAACAGCAATGATAATCAAAATGACCATAGTGATGGCAATGTATGATCAATTTTCAATAGCATTAGTGTTAGAATGCAATTTAAAGAAAGGTTAATCCAAGCCACCATTAGGGTGTGTGTGTGTGTCTGTCTATCTGTCTGTTTTTCTGCACGTAGTGTTTGTATGAACACAGCATTTTTCTTTTTCTCTGAATGTCTATCCTTCAGCTGGATACTGGCTGCCACTGAACAACAGCATATTGAAGGGAACATACAGACACATATAACATAATATATATAATCAGGTATAGTACATAGATACATTACACCTAGTGGCTTATCCCATGTTTTTATTGCCTTTACATAAAGATTTTTTTAACATCTTAATTTTATTTTATTTTTTTCAGTGTTCCAAGATTCATTGTTTATGCACCCACCCAGTGCTCCAAGCAATATGTGCCCTCTTTAATACCCACCACCAGGCTCACCCATCCCCCTACCCACCTCCCTTCCAAAGCCCTGTTTGTTTCTCAGAGTCCATAGTTTCTCATGGTTCATCTCCCACTCCAATTTCTCCCAATTCACTTTTCCTTTCCTTCTCCTAATGTCCTCTGTGTTATTCCTTATGCTCCATAAGTAAGCAAAACCATATGATAATTGACTTTCTCTGCTTGACTTATTTCACTCGGCATAATCTCCTCCAGTTCCATCCATGTTGATACAAAAGTTGGGTTTTCATCGTCTCTGATGGAGGCATACTACTCGATTGTATATATGGACCACATCTTTATCCATTCGTCTGTTGAAGGGCATCTTGGTCATTTCCACAGTTTGGTGACTGTGGCCATTGCTGCTATGAACATTGGGGTTCAGATGACCCTTCTTTTCACTACATCTGTATCTTTAAATACCCAGTAGTGCATATGCAGGTCATATGGTAGATCTATTTTTAACTTTTTGAGGAAGCTCCATACTGTTTTCCAAAGTGGCTGCACCAACTTGCATTCCCACCAACAGTGTAAGAAGTTTTCCCCTTTCTCCACATCCTCTCCAACACTTATTGTTTACTGTATTGTAGATTTGGGCCATTCTAATTGGTGTTAGGTGGTATCTCAATGTGGTTTTGATTTCAACCTCCCTGATGGCTAGTGATGATGAACATATTTTCGTGTACCTGTTAGCCATTTGTATGTCTTCTTTGAAGAAATATCTGTTCATGTCTTCTGCCCAACTTTTGACATAATTATCTCTTTTTTGAGTGTGGAGTTTGAGGAGTTCTTTATAGATCTTGGATATCAGCCATTTGTCTGTCGTGTCATATGCAAATATTTTCTCCCAGTTCGTGGGTTGCCTCTTAGTTTTGTTGAGTGTTTCCTTTGCTGTACAGAAGCTTTTTATCTTGATGAAGTCCCCAAAGTTCATTTTCACTTTTGTTTCCATTGTATTACATTATTCATCATAAAATATTCATCATAAAATACACCATTAGTTTTTGATGCAGTGTTCCAACATTCACTGTTTATATATAACACTCAGTGCTCCATGCAATACATTTATTAACATTTATTTTAGGTTCAGTCCATGGTCTATTTTGGCTCACAGTATGGTTAAAGTCATGTAATTCTTACTTGTTCTATTAATGAGAGAGAAGTTTATCTCTAAATATCATAGTTAATATTTTTCCTTACAGTTCTGCCCCATTATGTGTGATCTACTCTAGAACTCTGTAATTAAGTTCCATCCATTTATTACTTTTGCTTTCCTGTGACTGATCTATTATCCTCACAGAAAGTCCTTCTTTGCCTCTAGTGATGCTACTTGTGTGAAAGCCTATTTTCTCTCAGAATAAAGCAACATTACAGATTTCTTATACTTTTTATTCCTGTGGAATATCCCTTAACTCCTTAACTTTTTACCTATTTTTGTTTTATATTGCAAGTTTTTCTATTATACATACAATAGAATGTTCTATTCTATCCCATATGGGTTTTTTTTTATTTTTTAATTTATTTTTTCAGTGTTCCAAGATTCACTGTTTGTGCTCCCACCCAGTGCTCCATGAAATACTGCCCTCCTTAATACCCACCACCAGGCTCACCCAACCCTCCACACCCCTCCCTTCCAAAACCCTCAGTTTGTTTCTCAGAGTCCACAGGAATCCCCACAGTTTTCCAAAGTGGCTGCACCAGGTTTCATTCTGACTAGAGTCATATGAAGAGTCGCCAACCATTCTATAAAGAATTCTTGGAAAATGTGACCTTTTAAGACCCATTCCAGTAAGTGCTCTTCCATAAAAAACCCACCCCATTTCCAGGGCACCTGCTTTCACTAAACCTTCTCCATCTGTCTTCTCTTGTTTGGCGATTTGAAATGGACTTTTGGGGTGGGGGCAATTCTTTTTATTTTATTTGATTTTGTTTTTTAAACTTTATTTTATTTTTTCAGTGTTCCAAGTTTCATTGTTTATACAGTACACCCAGTTCTGAGAAGCAGCAAATCCTAGTCTCTGAATGCCCCAACTTTATTTCTCTTTTTTAAATATTTTATTTATTTATTTGACAGAAAGACAGTGAGAGAGGGAATACAAGCAGGGGGAGTGGGAGAGGGAAAAGCAGGATCCCTGCTGAGCAGGGAGCACAATGTGGGGCTCAATCCCAGGACCCCAAGATCATGACCTGAGCCAAAGGCAGATGCTTAACAACTGAGCCACCCAGGTGCTCCATTCCCAACTTTTTCAAGCTGAGTTCTTTTCACAAGAAAAACAGATTATGCTGAGTAAAATAAGTCAAGCAGAGAGAGTCAATTTTCATATGGTTTCACTTATTTGTGGAGCATAAAGAATAATACAGAGGACATGGGGAGATGGAGAGAAGGGAGTTGGGGGAAATTGGAGGCAGAGACAAACCATGAGAGACTGTGGACTCTGAGAAACAATCTAGGGGTTTTGGAGGGAGGGGGGTGGGAGGTTGGGTGAGCCTGGTGGGTATTATGGAGGGCACATATTGCATGGAGCACTGGGTGTAGTGCATAAACAATGAATTCTGGAACACTGAAGAGAAATTTTTAAAATAAATAAAAATTTTAAAAAAAACATAAAGATCGAACATTGATGCATTTTCAGAATAAACAGATCTGAGGTGCTCTTCAGTTTGGCTGACTTTGTATTTCTAATCAAAAGAATTTTCCACCTTGAAGCCTGAGGCACACCTTGTTAAAAGTACATGTTCCACCCACATGCCCTCAGCACTTATGCTGGCCATACTGGCAGCAGCAACTCCAGGTCTCAATTAGCAAGCACACCAGTGTATACCTTCTTAAAACGCCAACACTCACATGCCAGGGACAAAAATGCTGCCAAAAACAGTTAGAGAGAGCCACTGTAGAAAACTGAATTAAAGGGAAAAGAGGCAAGAACACAACAGAGACATTCAACTCACACCAGAGACACTCCCTGGGAGGCCATGTCCTGGGAAATGGGAAACACTGCACTGCAACACATTGCAGGATCTCTTCTTCATAATAATAGTAATAGTAGGGGACTTTAACGCCCCACTTAGATCAATGGACAGATGATCCAAACAGAAAATCAACAAGGAAACAGTGGCTTTGAGTGATACACTGGACCAGATGGATTTAACAGATATATTCAGAACATTCCATTTTAATAGATTAGAAAACACATTCTTACCAAAAGCACATAGAATGAACATTCTCTAGAACACATCACATATTAGGCCACAAGTCTCAACAATTTCAAAAAAATCAAAGTCATACCACACATTATTTCTCAATACAACAGTATGAAACTAGAAATCAACAACAAGAAAAACTGTAGAGCACAAATGCATGGAGGCTAAATAACAAGTTACTAAACAATCAGTGGGCCAACTAGGAAATTAATGAAGAAATCCAAATGTATATGGAACCAAATGAAAATTAAAACACAATGGTCCAAATTGCTGGGATTCAGCAAAAGCAATTCAAAGACATAAGTATATAGCAATATAGGCCAACCTCAAGAAGCAAAAAAATCTCAAAGAAACAACCTCACCTCACACCTAAAGTATAGAAAAAAAACAACAAACAAAACCCCAAACCAGGAGAAGGAAGAAAATAATAAAAAATTAGAGCAGAAATAAATGATGTAGAAACTAAAACAACAACAAAAACAAACACAAAACAAACAAACAAAAAGCAATAGAACAGATTATTGAAACCAGGAGCTGGCTCTTTGAAAGCATCAACAAAATTTATATACCTCTAGCTAGATTCATCAAGAAAAAAAAAAAAAGAGAGAAAGACTCACATAAGCAAAATCACCAATGAGAGAGGAGAAATAACCAACATCACAGAAATACAAACAATTGTAAGCAAATATTGTGAAAAATTATACGTTACCAATTGGATGACCTAGAAAAACTGGATAAATTCCTAGAAGCATATAAAGTACCAAAATGGAAGCAGGAAAATAAAAATTAGAACAGACCAATTACTAGCAAGGAAATTGAATCAGTAATCAAAACACTCCCAAAAAACCCCAAAAGACCAAGACCAGACAGCCTCACAGGCAAATTCTATCAAACATTTAAAGAAGAGATAATACCTACTCTTCTCAAACTATTCTAAGAAATGGAAGAGGAAGGAAAACTTCCAAATTCATTTTATGAGGCCAGCATTACCCTAACATCAAAACCAGATATAGACACCACAAAGAAAAAAAAATAACTACATCTGATAAACATAGATGCAAAAATATTGAGCAAAATACTAGCAAA